TGTGGCCCTGCTCCCCGCAGCCGAGCAAGAACCCCGCCAGGGCGGGCGCCGAGCACCTGGCGGATGGCTGCCTCACGTTGCTTCCGGCCTCGTCTCAGGCTTCCAACCCCAGATGTGTAAACTCGCGAAAGGTACTGCTTAAAGCACCCGGAAAACATGAGCACCTCGGATAGAACAAGCCAAATCAACCAAAGGAACGGGGCTCCCTGATTGGAACCTCAACAAATAAGGCCAAGCGGCCAAACATCTTGCTGGCAATAGGCTGCATTCTTGAACACCTGTTCTTCGCTTGATGGCTGGTACGTTGCCCAGTGTATAGTTTTGAAGCCCCTAGCAAAAGCAATCTTGCAGGTGATCATGCTAAATTCCACCGGTGGAAGTTGGGCTGTTTCTAAAGAAGCGATCAGCCACCAGAAACCTGCACTTGCGGCTTCGTCGACGCGACCCAATTAGAACTGTCGGACCCGCTTGCGTCTTGGCCTTTCAGAGTGGCCAACTGAACCTTTGACTTTGCTTTTGCGGCCTCCACGTGGCTCACCCGCAGCCAGGTGTGGAATTGTCCACTTCAGTGCTACCAATTGAAGACCTTCCCAATGACCAAACCGGAACTGGGAGGTGCCCTGGTATCACAGATTTGTTCCACAAATACCCTCGTTTTTCACAACCCTCTCCTTGAAGGCATGGGCCATGGAAAACGGGACATGCGACTGAAAGTGCGAAGGGCAAGTTGAAGGGCGTCTTTACCAGTTTCTGTGCTTTGGTAAAGCTTTCTACGCCAGGGTCAACACGGGCTGCCTCTCAGCAAATGCGGTGTTTAACAGTTCGTTCACGCACAAATGTTCGGCCACTCTGCATGAAGCCACAATGAGGACAAGCACTCTCAGCGCTGCAGCATCCTCTTCAACTGGTTCTGGCAGTCATGCGCTTCAATTCCCAAACGTGTAGCTTGGAACATCAACCACACATTCGAACTGTGTTTCTTCTTGTTTGACTCTCGGTGGTTTTACAGGCAATGGCGCAGGTTTCAATCACCAAAGGCCAAGCGAACTCTCAACTCAATTGCATCCAAAGCCGAACTAAGCTTCAAACAGGAAACGGCCGGAACAAACACATCATTCAACATTGTGTGTGTGGTGTTCAACAAAGACTCGATCAACAGCAACAATGTCAAACACTCGAAAGACAAACAAGTGGTTGAACACAACATCTCCCCGGAACGGATTGTTTGGCGTTGTGTCTACCATGTCCTTTTACATTACAAAAGAAGGTCGTATCCTTCAAGGCCACAGTCAAACACCAAAGCCAGAGCTGTCAAAGCCACATCGTCTACACGTGGCTTACACCATTGCAGCTCCAAGAACGAGCAGCATCCTTCAGGTCAAAAGCAGCATATTTACATACACCACCATGATCAACTTACACACTTGGAGCATATTCATAGCTAGCGTTCAGTGTAAACTGATTCAGGGCTAAGGCTAGGTTACAGGCACAATTGTGAGGCTGAGATACAGGACATGCGTGGAGACACAAATGTGAACGCTTGACACATACATTGTGTGTCTATTTACAGAATCGGATTGGGCGTCAACTGGCTGGCCTTGTGAGGTGTTCCAACACAAAGCTCTCCTGAGCGCGCCAGACTGACGGGACTGCATGTTACCTTCGGAACGGGACTGAACCAATTGCTCTACGGATGTAGCTACAACCCTCTTGGCAAGCCATTGCAACAGCCATAAACCAAGCTGTCGGATCCGGGTGCCGGTAGCTTCGCTCTTGCAAATCCATGAAAGACTTGTTCTCCGGAACTTGAGCCACTGGACTACCGAAATCAGCTGTGTTCAGTTTCCCGGCTGGACCAAACAATACTACTTCAAAACTTCCCATAATGTGTGCAAACAAATGCGCCCACCGCCCACCCCAGAAAAAAAAAAAAAAAAAAAACATGCACAACTTAGTTGTGATAAGTGCTGCAAAAAGACTCCCTGTGGTAAGGTCAAGGCCGTTGTGTTGCACCATTCAAAGGGGGCCAGGACTTGTAGACATACAGTATATTGCTGGCAGGTCAACTTCTGCAAATTTGAGCTCTCTCTCACTCCCTGTCTTCGTACAAGCTGCAAACATTTACGAGTGAGAGGCTCACGGCCTTTAGTGCAGCCAACTTATATGTACAGGCCTAAGAGAGAAAACTCAACGGGTGATTTCTAGTTGGTCTCGGGCTTAACCACCCCCAGACAATTACCGGCAAAGACGCACTGCTAAACCGGAAAAAAAAAAAAAAACAAAAAAAAAAAACTACTTTCCTTTGCGCCCGCGACATCAATTTGTCACGTCCGAGGATGTGGAGTCAGCTGAGTCATCGAGCATCAGATTTCTGCTTCATATGTCATGCTGTGTCTGATCCCCGATGGCACCTCCACATCCCTTTAGTGGGAACCCAGCGAACAAAAAGGAAAAGGGGGCCACTGAGCTAGAAAATGACATGCTGCAAAGGATCAAAGGATCTTCACACACACACACACAGGGTTCCCTATGTTTCCCCTTGAAACCTCACAGCGATGTTGTCTAGGTCCTTCAGTAGAGAGGTTAGAATAAGGGTACCCTGTTTTTCTTCATCTTTTTTTTCTGTAGTCTATTTTAGCAGGGGAACCCTCCCCTAAAAAAGAAACGGTAAAAGGGCACCACTGGGGGACCTAGTTTAAAAAGCCTCAGAGGGCAACGAAAGGGCGCCCTGAAAGGAGGCCACACGTCAGCCGGCCGAATCTCATCGCCAAGGACAGCGCCGCAGCTTGGTTGTCTGCGAGCCTGAAGCAAGCACGCCGAGCGCTTCCGGTTTGACTCTACATCGGCTCTATGCATATTTATGCATATGGCCGTGGGTCAAAAGCCCGTACTCCCAGTGAACATTCCAATTCTCACTAAATAGACTAAAATGGGCGGTGCACCTACCCCAAATGGTACCATTGGTTTTGACCCACAGCCATACAACAAATTGTGGGTTCAAGCGTTGCCCGGAAACAAATGGTGACTCGTTTCGGGACTGACCTGGTTTTTCGATGAAGCCACCAAACACAAAGGCGATCCACTGAAAAACTGTTGGAACTGATCCCGGGATCTTGCGATTTGGCGAAAGAGCCGGACTTCCAAGTCCGATTCCCGCCTTCCCCAGCCGTACAGCAACGCCTCCGCGCCCTCAGTGGGAAGATGTGGGAGGCCCTTGTTTGGCGGGACGCCTTTGATTTTGTTCCAAATTCACACGTGCATAGTGATGGTTCCGCCAACCAACTTTTCCGGAAGATCGATCTTTGACACCAGGGTTGATTCCCACGAATTCACGACTTTCAAGGCAATCCTTTTGCGCCGAAAGCTGTCAAAACCGGCGCACCCCGGAACCTTCAAAGTTCATGTTGTTTTTTGGTGCAGAAATTGATCCCACCAAGTTTTCAACCAAGGCGACTCGCTGCCACAAACACCTCTTGGGTTCACTGCCTATGGCTTCCCGTGACCCATCAGTACCCACAGGCCCTAGCTTCGTACAACATAAGCTGTTGTCCACATGAATCCTCTCCGACTGCAATGACAGCCGCAAATGCATGGCCCATGGCCCATGGCTCGTGCCAAACCCCAAAAAGCCTTGAAGCCAGGCTTGGAAAGGCATCTGGTTCAACGAAAAGCCTCTCACTGACCCAAATGCGGCCGGTGAAGGGGGCCATTGCTTCAGCCAGTTGCCCTTTCCTTTTTCTGCTGAGTCTAACCCAGGTGGATTGAAGATTCCCAAGAAGTCTGGCTGAGTCCTTTTGAATCTTCAATTCAGGAGCTACCTTCCCAAAGCTTTACAACAATGCAAAACGATTCTCGGGCCCTGGCCAGATTCAAGACTCAAAAACCAGTCCTGAGAAAGTTTCATCTTCATCCAAAGTGCACTAAATCGCTTGAAAGCGCTGGTCCATTGACAGAAATCTCAAACTTGGGAAGTCGGCAACAAGGGTTTCAATGACTCAAAAGTACTGCCAGCAATTTTCTTCTGACTGCAGTAAGGGCTCCATCAAGTTTTTCCATCAAACAGGGGTTTATCACGCTTTTCCATCCCAATTCGCCCCACGACGGGCTGCGGGGCTTCAGCCCATTAAATCCCACACAAGTTGGCCCGCGCCTCCAGGCACTCAAAGGCTGCATCCTGGCATCATCCCTTGAAACTAAAAATGAACCCGACAGGTCCGATGCGCAAGGGAATGGCTGAAAACAACACTCAGCTCACTTTGAGAACCACACCCAGGAAACTGTCAATGCTCCTTCACGCCCTTTTCTGCAAACACCACTTTTCTCACGCAAACAAATGCAAAACACTGGGGAACACAGCAACTTGCCTTGTTTTGCGGGGAGCTTGTTTCGGGGCACCCATTTGTTTGGGGGGCAGTCGTACCAATGGGTCGCTCTTATTGGGATCACTGCAACGTAGCGTGACATGAGTTCATCCGATTTGCTTGGTGGCCACCTCCAATTCTGGAGAAGTTCATCTAGAGCTGTGGCACCAGGCCACATTCCAAAGACGCAGGGCTTTGGCCGCAGTTCTGCAGGACCTTTTCTTACCTCCCGACTTTCGGATGCGACTGGGACCTGACTGACCAAGCTTGCCCAGAATTGGTCGGGAAAACAAACAAGCCCTGCTTGAAGGGACATTGCTTCATGAATTAACCAAGTCCGTTTCCCTATAATAATGGGTGCTTTGGATTGGAGGTTTGGTTCTGGGCAGCTTCCCATTTACCCTCCACAAAAGCCAGGGTTCAAATCCCCAAACCACCAACCCAAACCACCACTTGATACCTGACCAGGGACCATTGAATGCGAGGTGTCCCATCCCTAAACCGCCCGCACCCTGTAGATCTTCATGCACTGACGGCCGAAACCATTTCTCAAAGAACCCCACGTGGACCAGCTTCAACAAGACTCAGTTGTAAGAGGAACGCCTGAGATACCTGGCCCATGGTTCTTGTAGGAATCCTTGATTGCCCCGCGCAAAACTCCACCAGAAAACCAGGCTCCAGCCAAAGAGGCTGAAAGTCAGGCAACTTCAAATCGATTGACAACACCTGAGTCACAATCAACACCCAGTATTGCAATGGTTGAACCAGAACCATGCAAGGGTTTTGATTGTGGCCCACCTTACCCATGACAATCCCCACGCAATTCCGAGTCACCCCAAGCGCCTCCCAGCAGCTCAGAGCGCGCTGGATGTCCCCAGCCTGTCCAAAGACTCACATGGGCCTCCCAACACCCGGAACAAAACGCCGTATTGGAAGGCTGCCCTCACAGAATTCAGGCTGACGACGAGAACTCTGTATCCAATTGCCACAAGGGCTGGGTTTTCACTTTCCACAACGGGTTGACAGGGGCGCGAAACGCTGCTGGGAAGCCTCACCAAGAAGGCCTGAGCCTCACTGTAGGTTTCAGCCTGGGGAGCGTTCTAAGGGACACGAAAATGAGTAGCCCTATGAACACCTGCTTGAAACATTGCCGAAGGTACCGAGCTGAAGAGAGAAGCCCCCATGCAGGCAACTGCGATGGTGACAGTGCCGCTGTGTCCGCAAGAAACACTGCGGGCACTGGGATCCAACCAGCGCACAGCTTGGAATTCAATCCAGCGCTACGCCAGTTATGATTGCATTGTGATTCTATTGAACATGATATTTCGCAAGGCTCAACAACTGGATATTGCAGGTTACTAATACTAACGTGCAAGCAGATGTTACGACCCCCATCTAAAAATCAGGTATGTCGCTATCCATATGGGAGTTGAATACGCATATGCCAGATGGTGTGACAAGTTGATTGCCTCCAATGAGATGGACTGGCGAACAGTGGCAAAACAACCTTCGTTGCCTCACATTGCGATGTCAGCCAACTCAGTCATGGCAAGCATGCATTCAGCTTTGGAGCGTGATTTCGTGTTCTTGCAAACTGCCGCCAGCGTGTTTTGCGAGAGTCAACGACTGATATTGCCCTTGCCCAACCCCTTCCCGCAACCCAAGACCTTCCCACCTTCCCACCCACTCCCCAGCCCCTCGCGACGTGCCTCTGCCCATGCGCGCACCAGCGCACCCGAAATGATGGGGTCCGGGCCCAGGTCAGAGATCAGCGAGTACCAAGCCTGCGCAGTCGTCCACAGAGAACGACTTGGATAGGCACTCTTGACCCATACAAAAGAGTGTACAGGTGGAGCCACAACCAACAGCCGGCATGAAAGACGGGTAAGCTGCAGTAAGCCGCTACAAACGTGTTACGCGATACGGCTCAAGACCGCAGAGATTCATGGCTGGGGCGTGTGGCTTGCGTGAAACCAAACAGCTTGGGTAAATTCAGCCCTCATTTCTCGAGCTCCTCTTTGCAAGGGTACCGGTCGCAAAAGAAGGAAAGCAACACCCACAGGCAGATTTCTGGGGGAAAGCTCAAATTCGGAGCTCACATGTGAATGTACAACATGGCATGTGCAAAGCATGACTTGCCCTCAACCGCCAATTTTGCGTGAGTTTAAAAGTTCAGGCGACAGTGTGACAAAAGAAGTGACTCCTGCATGGCTGCCGATCAAGACATCACAAACCATGTCACCCAGTGTTGCTTTCATCCTGCTTGGCCTTCCGTGTTGTAAAGGGAATCCCCTGCAAATGGCAGTGGCTCAAAAAACCGGCACCAAAATGGAACCTGGCAAGTGGAAACATGGACCAAAACCTGCGTAACCCGTCCTGTTTAAGTTTGAGCCACACCCAAATCGGTCTGTGGGAAACCCACCAGCCACGAGGTCGGCGCTTGCCGTCCGTGGGAAGTGGAAAGGCCCAGCCGTCTGCCCGAAAGGCCTGAGCTTCCTGCACCTTGTTCTGCTGGATCAGTGTCTGGTCGCAGCGGGCTGTTCGCACTCGGCTTTGGGCTTCCCCTTGCCATGGAACCCACAAAGCCTTAGCTTGAGGAATCTTCTTTTTGGGTGGACCAAAGGCGTTTGAAAGGAAGTAAACTCTGAAGATTCACCTTGCCGTCACCTTTGGCCGCATACATTTCAATGCGCTGCGTTCCAGTGCACACGGAACCGCTACCTCCACGAAACTGTGCCATCCTGCTCACAAGGTTTACGCTAACAAAACGAATGCAACCAAGTGTATCTTATTGACAATAGAGTGTCTTGCTGTTTCTGTTTAAAGCAACAAAAGGGGGTACCCATAATGGGTTGTTTCCCCCAAAACCTGAGGCCTTATTGGGACCTCAGGGGATCGCGGGGGTGGTGGGTTTCCATGAACCTATGCCATGTGTTCTTGTATCACACGCTGCAGCTTGGCCCATGAAAAGTCACCGCCTCAAAATTGCCTGGCTCAAAGGAAAGCCACACCCCAAAAAGGAGATGTTGAGAATCCAACATGCTCAATTTAAGGCACCCAGTGAGCAACATTAGACACATTCGCATGAGCCAGTTTCCCTCAATCAGCTGGCATGCGCTGACGTTTGGGTCATCTGTTTTAGCCAGCCTGACAATCTGTCTATTGTTGAGTCCCTCCAAAACTGTTTTTTCCTGGAACTTGCCGACCTGGGGGGTGGGGGCGGATAATTGCAACACATCCCCTAGAAAGAAACGCCATTTGTTTTTCAGACCGACCCCATGCCTTTGCCAAATCACAGCTCACCTCACAAGGGATCGAGCCTTGCAAAAGGAGGCTCCCAGCAACCTGGACTGCTCCAAAAAGGGATCCGATGTCACACATTCAGCCTCCAAAATCTGTGGATGCCCAAACATAACTCATTTTGCGGAAGGAATGTGAAAGAAGGGGCCGGCCCTTGCGTGGACCAGTCTGACAAGGATCAAATTGCGTTCACGGGGAGTTAAACAATGCCTGCCAAACGGCATAGGACAGTCCCACAATCCACGCGGGCCAACACCCGGCGAGCCAGCAGGGTAGGGCCAACACCTCCACATCTCCACTGCCACTTCCAGGGGAAACAGTGTTTAAACATCCTCAAGGATTTCCCATAGGGATGCATGGCAACTGGCTGTAAATCAATCCTTCAACCAACTCTGACTCTACGCGGACGACTCGCCTCTGGAGATCCCGACTCTGTCATACGACGACTCGCCTACGCCCCGACCCCTGCCTTCACAATGCCTCGCACAGTGTTCCGGTCGTTCAGAAAGTCCCTGGAAGCTCAGCGGAATTCTTCCCCTCTGGGCCACTGGATTTTACTGGGGACCTGGCGGACATCAGAATTCGGCGGGGATTCCGGGATTCATGTCCAACCACTTTAAATTTGCTCTCCCCAGAGCAAAAGGTTCAACCTTTTGTTGGTTCAATGACAAAGCCATTTGTTTCCAAAGGCATGCTTTGAGGTGTTTCCCTACTAACTTCGTAGCCAATTTGCTTTCGAGACTCTGAACATCACACGAAGGGCAATCCTGCTAAAATTGGCCCAAAAGGTTCTGTTCACTTCTTTTCCGGTGGATGCCGCGTGCGATGAAGGGAAATTCGCTACGAAGGGTGTGGCAATTCTGTTAATCTTTGACTGAAATGCTGTTTCAGGCCTTGTCACTGAGTGTAGGCTGAATTTGGACAAGCGTGTCTCGCAAGCAGGGCAAAGGAAACAAAGGCGGGAAAATGTGACAAACATCAGAAGTTAAGTGGGAAAAGCTTTGAACTTTGTGCGTTTGCCAGGCCCAAGGCACAAAAGGAAAACCGTTTGTACCTCCGGCAAGCCCAACCATCAAATGGCGCTCCGTTCGGCTGATTCCTAGAACATGGTTGCGCGTTTGCTGGGCAGCCATGCACTTTGCAGAACATGACCTGTTCACCCTGGAAAGCCAGGTTTTGAACAAAACCGCAAGAACATATTGGCCATTATTGGCATGTAGCAGGGTGGAATATGCTTGGCAATGCCGAGCAACACGTACCACAAAGTGGGCGAAGTCTTACTCGATGCGTCAACCACAACTGGAGGTCACATGTGCTCCGAGGGAATGCCTGGTCATGAGACTGCATCAACATGCTGAGATTGCACACGAACAGCAAGCCAAGTTGAAAGTTGCGTTTTTGAGAAAGCTCCTCCAATGCAAGTTGGGACACTAAGTAGCAGGGATGCAGGGAGCCCCCCCCCCCAAATAAAGCAGGTAAATGGCAAGTGGCACAGAGGAAACAAAAAATCACAGCCCTGCTCCTCCCACATCTCTGCTAAGTGGTTCTTCTACAGCCAGCTCGGGATGCATACAGCATGGAATGGATTGTGGTCCTACATGGATGATCTGACCCCTCCCGCCGCACTTGGAAGGGACCACAAGGAGGAGGGAGGGCACCTACAGAGCATACCCCATGTTTTGCAGACTTGGTGAACTTGTTTTGTGCTTTTAATGTGATTTCCTTCAACTCACCAAAGCAACCAACTCTTTGGCTGAGGCAACTGCTCGGTTTAGTTCCTGCCTTCTTCTCTGGCCTCAACTTGAACTCTTTCCACAGGGTAAAACGCCGTTCGGTCCCTTGGCCAGAGACCTTTTTGTCGGGGAGCTCATCGAACATCGACTTTGAGTTTTGGGATATGGCTCACTATGGACCAAACTGACACGGACACGCCAACCACCCTCAGCGGGATGATCAAATTGGGCAACCAGGCCGGCAATGTCTGCCGTTCAAATTCATTCCGCAGTAGCAGGTTCAATGAGAAAGAACTTCCATCTACAATTGCTTGGGAGAAAACCAAAGAACAAAGGGCAATACTTGGTTCAACACTCTTTATAATTTTGCCAGCTTCGCAATGGTCTTGGGCCAAAAAAGCCTAGCAGCACTCCTTTTCTCACCTGCGCTTTGCTCACGCCGTGCGCGCTTGGCTCGAGTGGGACCCGAGCCCTCCACCTTTGTGCCCGAAGACAACCCTTTCGACTCATTAAACTCAACCAGGTGATTGGAGTTGATCCAAAGGTCACGCCGGCGTTAGTCATCCACATGACCAGTTGGCATACATATGTTACACTTCTTTGTCTTCCCATCCTCAACGCATGGAAATCCGCGTTTGGTTTATCTTCTCAACTGACGTCAGTACGCATGTGGGGCGATTGAAGTTCTGCTACTACTTGCTTTGCTCAAATCAGTTGTGGCAGTGGGCATGCACAAGCCACACACGCCATGATGTTTCAAGTATGCCGGAGGCAAGCCTGCGATAACACATACACACAACTGCAGTTTGCAAAACAGCCTTGCCTGTTGTAGGGAGATGTGTTGCAACTGTCGACCCCAATGAGTTGCTTTTCACACTGGCTTTCAACTATCAATTGCATGTCTCACAATCCTCACCGCGTTGTGAAGAGAAATGGATCGGTGCCTCTGGGCTGGATGACTTCGCCCCTGCCCCTCTCAGCGCCGAGTGTAGGCGCTGCCACCTCCTAGCGCCGCGTCTGCGAAACTCCCAGGAAGCATAAAGGATGTTTAACTGGCCGGACATTCTCCCCTTTTGGCACTTCACCCCAAAGGAAGCTCAACTTACATCTTCAAAAAAACACAATATCTAAAACCAAAGGGACAGTGTAAAGAACCCTGAAGGCTGGGGGTTGGATGGGAGGCTCAAGTGGAGAATTCTCTTTCAGGTTTCCTTCAAACCTCCAAAAGATGTACCCTGAAACAACAATTCCTAAAAACTCCCTTAGTGTCCCATGTTTGTGATCCCCAAGAATGACCCTAAACTCAGCGCTTCTTCAATAACAGCAAACATGGCAGGCTCTATGCAAACAGGTGCCTCATCATGCTTGCCGCAGTGAGAAGCCTTACAACAGTTGTCTACTGCACAAGTCACTGACACAAACCAACTCACAAACATAAAACATGACCAACATAGTGTGCATTAAGCCAACGCACAAGCAATAAGATTAGTCGCAAACACAGATTGCTGTCATGGCATTTGTTGTTCCTACTCCAGCTACTGGCAATGAATCCTCCTATGTTTCCAGGGAATCTGTCAAAGTCAGGTAATTCCAGGCGGTATCGCTAGTGTTCCCCAAGCCACCGAGGCTGTGTCTATGTCTGTACGTGTGGGTGTGTGTGCGTGTCTCCCAAATGGATTTCCTCTTAGCATCTTCAGATTGAGCCAAAAGGCGTCTATCTTGAAACATGCCTCATGTCAAACCTTGAGACCCGGGGCATGGATTTGGAAAGGGGATGGATTGGAAAGGCTACAAATGACTACAGTATACAGTATGGTGTTCATTCAGTCGAGTCTACCAAAAACAATATCAACACAATCAACCAACTTCCTGCGCCTGGTCGTGATGGCCGCGCCCTAACTTGGGTTTTGTGGCCCAAATTTGATACCCCTTTGATCATGCCCACTCTACGAGCCTGGAGGATTCCCGCCATAGCTGCCAGGACCTGACTGCTAACCATCCTTTCACGGCAAGTGCTTTGAGAGGTTCGGTACAAAGATGGCGCCACAACTCCAACCGAAGCACCTGCGACCAGGTGCTTGGAATGTCAACGCTGGGCCATGGTCACTCCCTAAGACGGCTGATCAAACTCCTGCGGCCAAACATCAGCCTCCCTTTGATCGGTGACTTGGATTGGTGGCTTGGAGCGTAGTTTCTATTTACCCTCTGCAAGAACCAGGGGTTCTAAAACCTGACAAAGGTAGTGACTACGCACATGGAATCAAGGGAGGAAACGCCTGAGGCTCCCACCACTTCTGCCAAAGCGTGGTGCGCCTGCGGCGCCTGAGTACGTCAATTGCAGACTCCCTTGGGAGGCGACATGAGGCTGCGTCAGAAGTGTTTGGCTCATGGCCATTGAGAGAAAGCAAAAGAAAAACGGAAAGGACCCGTTGAAATGTCTAATGGTAGCTGCTTCCCTTTGGTTAAGGCACGCCCGTGTCATATATGGTCCCGTGTTCCGTGTTGCTACCCCCCCCCCCCCCCATATGGTATGGTCCCCCAGGACCCCCCCCCCCCCGGCCCGAGCCCCCGGATCCTGTCACCTACGGTCCCACCCCCACCCCGACCCCCTGAACTCGACCCCGACACCCCGGCACCCCCACCCCCAGGACAAGCCAACCCGCAACCAACCATAAACCAACCCTAAACTAACCCTAAACGAACCGTAAATACCCTCTAAACCAATCCCTAAACAATAAACCCTAAACCTAAGCCAACCCTAAACCAACCCTAAACCAACCCTAAAACTAACCCTAAACCAACCCTAAATACACCCTAAACCAAACCCTAAACCGTAAACCTAAGCCAACCCTAAACCAACCCTAAACCACCCTAAATCAACATAAACCAACCCTAAACCAACCCTAAACTAACCCTAAATCACCCTAAATATACCCTAAACCAGTTCTAAACCAACCCTAAACCACCACAACCCAACCACAGGACCACAACCACAGGGGGGGGGGGGGTACTTGTCTGACCCATGACCATTGGTGGGGGGGGGGGGGGGGGGCTGGCAACGCTGTACCATATATGCATCGCGGACAATACTCTTTGTGCCGCAAGGGACACTACCAACTTGTGGCGGACCCCCCTGATGTTGCAGCAGGGAATTAGGGCGGGCGATTCTCATCTCCCATTTGGCCCAAGAACAACAACAGCAACCATTAAAGCAGCATGTTGCTATCGCTGACCTACAGACTGACAGTCCCCTCGCGCGCCTAGGGGCCGACGGCTGCCGACGGCTCTCTTTAGGTACTCAAGACACCCAGAATTCCACACTGCCATGCTACACTTTTGCAGATCTTGCCTGGCAGAAAACAAAATAAGGGATTAAGCACCTGCTGTTGGCGTTCTTTTTTTGCCCTGCCATGGAACCTCAAGAAAAACCTTTACCAGAAAACAATATTACAGGGTCTGCAGGTTTTATGTCATGTGGGCGGATTAGCCTTCGTACTCCATGGCTCCGTGAAGTCGCGTCATGTACAACAATCTTGGCTCCTGAGATCATAGGAACACTACTGGCCGGCACTTTGGCGCGCCCAAGCAAACCAGACATCTTGTCAAATTTCATATATGCCCTCTCAACAAAACCAGCTCCAGGAACTTGAGCCCCACAAAGCGCATCTGCGCTCGAGGTGCTGTATGACGAGGAAGGTGGAGGCGGCGAGGCATAGGCCGTCCTGGAGACCATGCAAATGGATCCACGCGACAAATCAAGATGAGGTCTGGTACACCTCCGAAAGTCTGGATTTTGGGGGTCTGGTGGGTCACACCAAAAACCTGACAACTCCGTGTGTGGCAGCTAAATTACCATCTGATTCGAAGTATCTTCCATGTAGATAGTTGAACAACCTCACGGTCTGTGGCCAAGTCGGGCTGTAGTTATTGTGGTTCTGTCGTTGTTTTTAAAGGCCGTTACACTGTGTTGAATCTATCTCAGAAGGGGTTTCCGCATGCCTTTGACACACACAAAGCAACGCACCAGGTGTCTGCATTATCCGAGAGGTCAATGTGATGGAATTCATGCCCAAATATCAAATAGAAGTTGCCTCTTGTATGAACAAACACCTTGGATTCCTCATTCAGACCCCGAGATTTCGCGCAACAAATTCCAGGCTTTCGCATTCCAGAAGGGCCCAAGGCAGGCCAACGCGGAAAACATGCCGGCTGCGCGCTCGCGCAAGGCCAGTCAGTGCGTCCGGGGCTGACGTGGTGACGCTGTCTATGCTGTCCGGGCGTTCCAGCCAGAATGGTGGTTTTCAGGCAGGCGCGTGCTTCCAAGCGCACTGTGTCTGGAGGGCCGGGGTGTGCTTTCTGCTGGCTCGCAGGGATATCCCTGTCCCGCTGGTGTTGCTGGCGCTGTTCCCAACTTTTGCTCAACGGGGATGGCGTTGTGGGAGTGATACTAGTGACGTCTGTTCCCTGCCATAAGCCCACGGCCAGGAGACCGCACCAACATGGTGAATCTGGGGAACTGCCGTATGGCGATGGTGCGAGCAATGTTTGTGGTTTGCGGGGCTTCCACGCTTCTTTGGGGGGCGAAGAGGGAACCTCGCCTGGCTTGCGCGCAGCCCTTGAGTAGGGTACATGACTAGGCACACTCTTCTCTAGTCATCATGATTTAAGCTAGTTTTACAGTCCATTTGGCCAGGATTTAGGCCCTCGGCAGTGAATCTCTCGCGAAGCGAAGCGTCCTCGGCGTCTTGGCCGGAAAACTGGCCGGTGCCTCGAAGGGCCGCTTCCTGGGCCCACTGGACCGAAGTCGATCGGCGAGAAGTTTGGCCGAACACGGAAGTAAGCCACACCAGTCTATTGGGACCCCCAACGGCTGTCAAATTCCCCCCCAAGACAAAAAACACCGAAAAGGGGTCGCTTCACAAACCATTTGTTGTTTAAAGGCAAGCACCCCTGTGCCTGAGAAGACAATGGTCCCTGATATCTACGGGTCATGAGTGTTGACATCTATGGCTGAACATGTTTGTTGTGGCACACGAGTGGTCATTTGTGACAAATTCGTTGGTGGGTATGTCTCCCAACAGCACCCCGGCTGATTTCAATGTAGACCGGCGTTGTTTGCACAACTGTTTTTCATGGGTACGAGTACCGCATGTGTCGAATTCTAGCTAACTAAACCGAAAAGCTGGTGTCATATTGATTTCCTCGCGCATCCCAAGAGGGTTCTTAGCGTTGATGTCTTGACAAAACGGTCCACCTAGGCAGAGAGCATTTGAGCATCATCCAACACCGGGTGCTTTTCCAATCTGACACCCGCATAATCTGCATCACCACAAGGGACCCCTAACTGTTGGCTTGCATTGGTGATTTGTGGAATCCTCGATACACAAGCAATGGCTGTGTTGGCACAACTAGGCGGCACGTGTATGGAGGAATTGAAAGGAGAACCATGAAACTAGACGAGAGAAGTCGCGGCCACTTTGTGAGGTCGAACACGTACCCAGTTTGACCCATACTCTGCTGCAGACACAAACCACAAAACATGAGCGATCTCCTGGGGCAATCTTGCCATACTGGACTGATCAACCCCAGTTTATAAAAAGGGAGGTGTCCCTGGGTTTAGTGGTACATCCTCACTTTTGGAAGGAACAGCCCCCTAATAATAGACTGGGGTTGATTTTTACACGGGGTCAACATTACCCCCCTCGGGTTCCATGTTGCTTTGCAGAAGTGGACACTGAGAGCGGAATCTGGGCTCGCGGCAGCCCGAAGCTTGTGGCTGGCGCTGGGGTGAGTGGCCGCGGTGGCGCGCGCGCCGCGGGTCGTCCTACCAGAAAGTCGTCGGGCTGGTGGGGGCGGCAAAGGGAGCCCCCAAATTTCACCCAACTGCACCCAGATCCCAGTAAGCCAGCCAACCAACCAAACAGCCAAGCAACCAACTAGCCAGCCAGCCAGCTCCCTTCAGGCTGTCTAAATGGAACCATACACAACCTGGGTGGAAGAAAGAAGATGGCCGTCTTGACAAATATCTTGTGTGAGCAGCGCCTGGACAAAAAAACAAACAAACTAGTGATAGATTCCCTTTGAAGCCACCAAGAGAACATGGAAGTGTGGGAGTTGCACAGGCTTGGGTCACCCAAAGTTCAACTTTGAACAGGGGAACAACTGCCAAATGGCTACCCGTCTTAGAGGATGTCTCAGCTGGGCTCATTACTCGTAACCAAACATCTTTGGCCTGTGCGTGGTGGCCGCGCAGGAAAGCATGGCAAAAACGACGGAGCTCGGGGCCAACAAGCTCTTGTTTGAGTAGAGTTGTTTTGGGTGTATCCCCGAATACTAAACGAATACATAGCAAACTAAAAAGTGAAACTGCTCATCTGGCTTGATTCTCAAACCGGGAGGACAACTCTACGTTTGCGTTCTGTAGAAAGTAGGCCACGAGGGCTTGAAGATCCGCTTGATCCAGTCATAAACGGCTCAAGTCGAAAGGAATTTCCTGGTGGGCCCCCCTTGAGTTCCATTTGGGGACCATTCCCTGGGTGCAGTCGCATCAAACAGAGTGAATCCAGTCGTGGGGTCCAGAGGGCCCGAAACCCAAAACCTATGTGTCTATACCATCATCCCATAAAACCAGGCAGTAAAGCTTAGTAAAATCTCATGAGTTTTGTAGGCTCTGCTGACTCCTTTACATTCGGTCGACTCGGAAAGAATGCAAGCGTGCCTGCATAGCTAAAGAGCGGTCGACCCCTGGCAAAGACACGTGCAGGGAAGTGTCAGCTACCTGTAAATAAGTCGGGAAAGATCGAGCATCAACCTGATTCACAATAACGGGGTCACAGGATTTCCGCTGGACAAGTGGCAATTGACTGGTGGTTTCCATTGAAACTGCCACTTTTGGAGGCTCAAACAAGGGGATGTGCAAAGAACTGGCTGGTGCCTGGAAACCTCAAGCATTTGCTCGCTGGCTCGCTGTTTTGTGGAAGAATAGGTAACCAATTCCTGCTTTTCACTTTCCAGGGTTTTCATTGTGGCTCAGGGCTTCGGGCTTCCTGGCAAGCCATGAGTTGTCTAGCACCTAGTTGGCCCAAGATCCGAGAATCCGAAGAGCCATTTCCAAAGCCTTCCTGCGAGGATACCTCCAATTTCCATCGCCAAAAGAGTGGCGGCTCCAAATAGGCAACGTCCCCCTGACACGCCAGGAGCAAGCAAGAAACCAAGTCCAAAAGCAACACCGCGGAGATTTCGCAGCTTGCCATGCTCCACGGGCCCCGAACAAAAGCGAAGGGTGGAAGCTTGTGTCAAAGGTTGAGATGGCCATTTGCCCCCTATTGGTTGGGTTTGAAGTTCTGAAGGGAAATCAACAGTTCAAAAAATGAAGCCATTTTGGGGGTCCAGCCGTAAAAGGCCTTAACATGAACTACACCCACGTGTCAAACATCCTTCAAGCCGATCAGTTTCCTGGAAGTTGGGACCTGTACAAAGGCCATGCCAGGCCTCTGAAAAGCCTACCAAGGCATGTCTCTGCTGTTTCCCAGTGCTAGAAACATCCCCAAACATCGACATACCCAAATGGTGATTGTTGTTTCTTCCAGTGCTGCTAGTACAAACCTCCCCAACTTGTTGTTTCCCAGTTCTGCAACACAACTCAGGGTAACTGTTGCCCCCTTCCCCATCTGCAAATGCCCCGCCCTTGCGGCGGAGGTGGCCCCCGATTGAAGACCTCAGGCATCGGATGGATCTAGGCAAGTCTATCAAGGGGCCAAAAAAAAAAACCATCGTCGTGACGGTTTAATAACCACAACCATGTTCTAATTGATTTGGCCCTTATATCAATTCCCAAACCTGAAAAATAAGGAAGCCCCAAGTAAAGGGGCCTCGATCACGGAGCGCTACACTTTGCCTTGTCAGGTGCGTTCCCTCCATGAGCCCTCACCGTCACATTGGGTTTCGAAACCTGGCTCATGCTCACTGACAAACTTGTCTGAAAAGAGGCTGCTACTCACAACTGCCCGCAGTCCAGCTATTCTTGGACGGTGAGCAGCAATGCTTGCACGAGATCTGTTGTCTATATGCTACGCCATCCAAATGCAAGATGACATGACATCAAGACCAATCATGACGAGGACGGAACAAATGTTCTTGGCCCCTTCGACAAAAGTGACGATGTCAAGATGTGCCACGTGACACCCAGGCACATGGGTCTGATTGGGGGGGGTCAAACCTTAGCCTCGTTCAACGCTCCATGGGACTTCCAAACCGGCGAAGGCCAACAGATCTCAGACTAGATCGGGAACATTTGCACTCCCCAAACAAACATCGAACCTGAAAAAGGGCCCCTGTTAGCGCAAAATGGTTCCCTCTCACGTGGCAAATTGCTTTGGAAGGGCAACCTGCCTGCCCAATGGTCTGACTCGCCGGATGCCGAGGTTCCTGCACCCTTGCCGCCGGGTGCCTGAGGAGCCGAACTGGCTCGAGGAAAAAGGGGGGGGGAAACGATTGAACAAATTGTCTGGGATTTGTCGTCCTCCTTGTCGTGGCCAGTCTTCAACGGGCTTCCTGGCATGGAGGTAAGGGGTTGAAGCAAGTCGGAATCCTTGGAATTCACGGGAGGTCTAGTTGCAGAAAGGGCACTTCTGAAAGGTCTGGGCCTGCCTGGGGTCTTGTGTACCGCCCGCCAAAATCAGAACCGGTGGAGTTGTTTTTTTTACTAACCCTGGTTTTTTTCTCCTAACCCTGGCTGTGATTGGTGAATTGGTGGGTTGGTTGGTATCACTTGGACCTGGGGTTGCCTAGGCTCTGATGGGGTGGCAGTTGGGAGTTGCTGGGGGCTGGTTTAAGTTAGGGGAGTTTTGGCTGGCTTAGATCTTCATGAGGGTGGGTCTTGGGGTGGTTTGGGGCTGATTTAGGCGAAGCGAAGGGCTGACATCCAGGCTGCTGTTGGGCGGGTTTGGGGTTGACTTTGAGTGGGTTTGGGGTGGCTTGGGGCTGGTTTGTGTTAGGTGTGCTGCTGGTCCAGCAGCGGCTTTAGAGTTGCTTTAGGGTGTGGTTAATTTGGCAACCCCAAAGCCCTAAAGCAACTCTAAAGCCGCTGCTGAACCAGCAGCACACCTAACACAAATCAGCTCCAAGCCACCCCAAAACCGACTCAAAATCAACCCTAAACCCGCCCAACAGCAGCCTGGATGTCAGCCCTTCGCTTCGCCTAAATCAACCCCAAACCACCCCAAGACCCACCCTCATGAAGATCTAAGCCAGCCAAAACCCCCCTAACTTAAACCAGCCAGGCAACCCCAGGTCCAAGTGTTGTTGGTGATGCCGGGGATGCGGCCAGCCAGCCAGCCAGCCAGCCAACCAACCAACCAACCAACCAGGGCTAAGGGGGGGACCAGGGCTAGGAAAAAAAAACACCATCTCCAATCAGAACCCCCCCCACCAAAAAAAAATCCCAGCCCCAAGTGCAGAATATCAAACGTTTCATCAGCTGTGATTTCAACTGAGTCCTTCAAGTAAAGGATAGCCAGGAAATTTGGAGTGGAACCTCCATGGTGTGGCCTAGCACGGGCCTTCGGGCGCGAACGACTTGCACGATCTGAAGGTCGACCTTTTGGAGCTACAGATCTAGGAGCTGAAATGGCACGCAACTGAGCTTGCCCTTGGAATTGTGGACATACATCAAGGGGGGCTCAAAAAGGGGGCAGTAACAAGCCGTGCTTGTTTGGCAAAAGCTCTTTAAAAAAGCTCTAGAGTCTTTCATGCCCCCCCAAAAAAAACGGTCGCCTCGTTGACGCCGGAGAAGGCTTTGGACTTTGGGGCATGTGTTGGACCTGCTTGCATGTCCCTTCCTTTCAACGTGCCAACCAGTGGGAAATGGGCTTCCAAAAATAACGGAAACCCCCCAAAGCCTGACCCCCAACAAGGAGGAGATTCCCTTGTATCACAGTGGGGATCCCCTTGATCCCACAACCCTGCTCCCAACTGTTTTGTCTCAGCTCCGCGCCCCTTTGCCTCCGAAGGTCGGGGCCTGCGCTTTTGGCGCCGGCGTGGGAAGGCCAGCAATCCAGCAGGGCACCAGTGGGGTGTGAGGTCTCGGGATTCATGGCCACCAACCACTTATGAGGCGGTTCCTGATTGAAACTTGTAGCTGGTTGGTTGGATTTAAGTCTACCTTGGTGTTCCGTGCCCACTGCAGGACTGCAGAACCCAGACGATGGCATCTTACCCACTACACGGCCTCTTGTCTGCTAAGCACCGACCGTGGTCAGACTCAACCTCTGACCCGAATAGCGCAATCAACCGTGGCTGGCTTAAAAAGGCACATGCCAAACAAGGCCTCCTGCCCACGCCCCTTTGTGAGGCCCTGGTTGCGTGTTGGGCCGTGAAATGGGGTCGAAACCGGATCCGACTTTTCCAACAAATGTTGACAGCCCAAGATTCAAAAACCAACACCCCCTTTCCAGACTGATTCTCTTGGGGAAAACCATTCTAGTGAAGTCAAAAGCCACAGCTTGGAGGGAAGGTTTCGGGCGAAACAAAAAGCACTTTTGCGCTGGGGCCAGCGCAGGGCCCATCTGTCTCTGGAACTTCAGATATGCCGTCTCCTGGGCATGTCAAGAGGACCGCGGGTGACTCCCAAAAGGAGCCAACAAGAAATTGAGGCTATTTGGTATGCTTTTTTTTGCTAAATATTTTTTTGAAACAGGCTCTTTGAGTCCAGCAGGCGAAGCTCTCGATTCCCGGTGCTGCAGAGTTCATACGTGCTGCCTGTCAAACCTTTCCTGCCAGCAAACAAGGAACCATTGAACAACTGCCAGGCTGTGTCTTGGCACCTTCTCTGCAAAGCCTCAACCGCCAGCTGATCAGAGAAAGAGGGAAACCCAAGGAAAGTGAACCTGCAACACCTTGGGCGAGCACTAGCGCCACTCACTGAACTTCGTTGCCCATGAGCTGGTAATGTGCGCTGAGGGCATTCCTGACAAAATTGCCAGTTACCCTCCCACCACCCCTCACTCAATATGGACAGCCTTTTTCCTCTCCAAGGGACCTTCCAGGTATTAGGTTGGGAGGGCTGACTTGGCCTTGGTTTGCCAAACCGAGGAGCTCGGCGATTTGTCTGACTCGGGGCCGCGCATCCCCGGCATCCACTCGGAGCTGACGATCCCTCCGTGCGTCCTGCCACATGTTTGATGGGCTGAATTGCAGCTGGTTGGGTCAGTACCAGGGATCCAGAGTTGGAGTAAAGGGAAACTTCAAGGGGAAACCTCCTGTTTTGAGGCAACCCTCCCATAATTTGATGGTTTTGCCATGATGTTTTGAGTTCAGGGGGTGATCTGCCACTCACTCACTCACACACACACACAAAAGCCATGGGTTCCAATCCAATAAGCAACGGATTAGGGGGAACCAGGGCCGCGTGTGGAAGGTTCATCCTGCACAGTTCTGGTCAAGACAGAAAGAAAGAAATATGGAACGAAAAGAAACAATGGAAGAAAGAAGGAAAGAAAGGAGCAGAGCAACACACAACTCACGTATCTATGTGCTTGAAACTTCCGCCCGAAGTCCAGCTACATGTATGCTAATTAGGCTGGACAAGTCGTCCACACACGCTGGCATGCTAGAACCATGCTGAAAACGGCAGGACGAAACATGTTTGATCCATTGATTGTGCACAAACTCAGAACAACCCGGGATGCTCAGTAGTTTGAGCAATTTCAATCTGGAACTATTCCGGCATTGCAGGTTCAACGGCTCCTAGCGTTCTCTTCCTTGCAGAATGAACCCTTCCATGCAAACACCAGTGTGAATGGCCCTCCGACAGTCACACGAGCCCACATGAACCCAACTGCCAAATTCTTCCGGGGTGGCCAGGAAAAGGACACCCTTTTCTGTTGATTTAGTTTGGGGTCGGAACTCTGTGAAAAATGGAGGTGTGTGTGTGGTTTCCTTCAGTCAGTTTCTTCCGAAGGTGAAAGAGAACCGTTCGCCAAATCTGTGGGATGGAGTCTTTGGGTCTCCACAAATCAGATTTAGGGATCTTCACGGAAACCTTCAGCGTGTTGGGCTCTTTGCCCCCAAAGACGACATGCCCCGCTCTCTCTGCGAGACTCTCCTCGGTGAGGCGCACGAAATTCTCCAGCGGTGAGTCGGAGGAGAGCTGCGCCTCCAATGCTCCTTTGGCGTTGAGCTCCACCTCAGCGACTCGACGACTTTGGCTCGACTGGGTCAAAGACCCCGTAGTGCGCAAAGCAACGGCGTTCCTTTTGGTTCGAAAAATTGCCAGCCCCAGAAGGGTTCCCTAGACACAGACACCAGCAGTTATGGTTGTAAAGGTTTAGATTGTCCTTGTAACCCATGTCAAACCAGCAGGAGCCACGTGCTACAACGGCCAACAGCCCTTGGCCTCAGCGACGTGGCACATGGGTGGGGGGAGCCTGGGGGCCAGAAACCCAGAAAACCCAGGCAAGGTACCCCTGAGCGTACTTGAAAGGGGAGGACAAAAAGGTGCGGTGAAAGGGAAACAAGGTTTGTTGGCCAGAGTAGTATCCCTCTTGAAACGGGTCCCTCAATAATTCAACCCGGGAATAAATATAAGAATCTTGGCCCCTGTCTTTTCACTGCCCAGGTCCGGCTGGCTCAAATAGGGTCAATAATAACGTTTCTTTAAGCCACGTTTGGACATGGCTGCGTAGAGGGAAGCCAAAGGGAAAGCTACGTCCGACAGTCTTGGTCGCCCCTGACTTTCGGTAACATCGAAAAGGAAAAGATGGGTCTGTCCTGAATAAAGATGGAACCCACTCTTGCTTCCTTCTTAAACAGGAAAACAATGGCTCAAAGTTAGTTGGATCCTCTCAGTTTCCACTGTCCACAAACAAGAGCGTTGTGGTATGTCTTGCACAGCCTCAAGGGAGGCTGCCGGACGAGTTCGCCGCATATCGAGACAATGCGTCGTCGATCAGTCCAATGATTTCTGCACATGAGCCGACAAAATGCTGCCTATCTTGCCGCCAGGAAGCATTGAACCTTCCCCCTGGTCCAGTTGTTTGGCGACCAGTCTTCCCCGGCTTGCGGTTCCCAGAACCCCGATTGAAAGACCGTCCCCCAAAAGGTTTGGCTGGTTGAGTTGCTTGGGCCAGAACGCAAGCGTTTGTCTCACATTAGCGTTCAATTGTTGGGAATAAAGAAAGAAATATAAAGAAGGAAAGAAACGGAGCAAAAATGCGGAAAATAACACAACGGAAATACATACAGAAGGAACAGAAAGGGGAGAGGAAGAGGGAGGAAGGAAGAAAGAACGGAATACCACGAAATAATTAAAGAACACGAGAACACAAAGGAAAGAAAGACAGAAAGAAACAAACAAATCAATAAAAGAAACAAAGAAGGCACAAAATCAAGAAAGAACATGATTAAATCAATCATCAAATAACAAAAGAAAGAACCTAAATAATTTCATACTTAAACAAATAAAGAACCAAGCAAAACAGATAAATGAAGAACGATACAAAGAACGACATGACACAAGGCAGACAAACAGATATTGGCACCTAAATGAATTCAGAGAGAGAGATAAAGAAAAAACATCGACAAATAAAGAAATAGACAAACAAAAAACTAAGTACATACACAAATACATATAGACGCAAAGACAACAATGAATACAAAAAGGCACACATAGGATTGCAATAACACAATAAGTAAATAAATATGTTCAACATCTAAATATGTTACACAAAACACATGTAAAACAACAAGACGTAACAAACAACATAATGACATATCAAAATAACAAAAGGAAACACAGGGAAACCAAAGCAAACCAAACACACGTTTAAGAGAGAAATCTTCAACAACAAAAAACACCAAGTGCATAAATAACAAGATAAAAATAGAACAATGAAGTCGTGGCAACACACAATATATTTATATACAACATACTTAGCAACAAAACACACAAACAAAGTGTAAAATAAGGATAAATAAGGAAACAGAGACAAACACAACTAAAACTGTTTTTTGCACCGGACCTTTCCCTAGACCCCCAGTAATCATGGCCGAAGAAGGCGCTTTGCTTGGCTCGTTGATCTCCGATAAATGAGAAAGAAGATGCCCTTGCTTTAGCTCTGGGCTTTGTCTGGGCGCCGCTGCCACGTCTTTCACCAGCTCGACGAGCTGGTTGTTCGAGTCCACACCGAAACTTCGCAGATTCAGCGGTCTCTTAAAGTACCTGACGATGTCTCGAGTGCCACCACTGGACATACCCTTGTTGCTGTACACCTTGTCCAATGGGAATATGTCATTCGACCATGCGCAAACAATTCCAAACAAGCACATTCTGCACCTGTCCAAGATTTATGGGCCCTGCGTTTGCAGTGCGAGAACGATATTCATGGGCAGCCATCGTTTTCCTCAAACCCACCTGTTCACTTCAGCATCCCTGGAATGCGCCCTGATTTCTTACCACTCGCGACAACATCCACAGGCAGGGCACTTCTGATAGTAGAAAGCTAAGTGGCTCTCTTGGAAGCTGGTTCTATCTGGGTCATCCTGGCGGCTTTCCCACCAGACAGGTTACTGCTTGCTGCCCTGGCCAATGTGCATCCTTGCACAATATCATAATGCTTTGACCGGCGATGCATTGCCACAAGCACCAAACATGCTACTTTCCCTTTCATTCTGGTCACATTCCCTGCAGTCAGCTCATGTGCCCCAGTCCAAGTCGTGGCGGAAGGCATGGCATAGCAAATGCAGCCTTGCACCGGCGACTGGCCAGGCTCACGCGCAGCAAACGAACAAAGCCCAGTGACATGCTGCACATCTGAGTGTCCCGTCATGTTGTTTTGCAAACAATTGATAGCATCTACTGCCTGAAATGGACGTTGGCAACAAATCCAATGATTTGGAAGTTCCCCCCATTGTATCGAGCGCATATGTTCTTTCTGCCCACGACAATCGGCAATTGGGTAGGCCTTCTTTGGCTTGTGTGGGCTTTGCTGTTTTTGCAGCAACTTACTTTACTAAGCTGCCGCCGATGCTGAGTTGTGGATGCATTCTTTGGAATAAACAGCCATAGGACATATGCTTCAACATGGACATACAGGCTGCTCGAAGCGTAGTGAACACTACTTGCAACAACAGCGGTCTGTTCACTCGGTTGGCTCATCTCTGTCAAGCCAGTTGGAGCAGCCACAAGAAGGTCAGGACGATCATGAAGCTTGACAGCTTTCAATCAGTGTGTTCAAGAAGTTGGGCGGTTGAAATTCAGAATGCTTCAGGCAGGCAGAAAAGGGACATCTTGTAGAGCTTTCGGTGAGTGTTAGGGGTGCTTGTTTTGCTAAAGAGTGCCTCTTACCCCTGATGACATGCTTTAGTCAAGTTAGTGCATGCCATTGTTACTTACCAAAGCTTCTTTTTGCACGCATGCTTACATTCAAAACCTCTCGGGGCCTATATATATGTATATCTCCGTTCCCCTCTGACGGGAACATGGGAAACTCAAGGGTCATTTAACCACTGTAACATGAGCAAGAGGCGAATCCCAGTACTGGGGGTCACAAACTTAAATGCTGACATAGCATCCTTCATTCGTGCAGCGGACCTGGACATCTTGAGAGAAGAAAGCAACAGCGTATCCCTTCAGCTCGAAGAAACTTGTCAAACACTGGCACATGGCCTCTGCTTGGTGCTACCTATATATATATATATATAATTATATGTGTGCTAGCGAACGGATTCATTTTATTCTTGAGTAACTCCGGAGGACCATACCAATTTGAGAAATCCCGCAACAGCATCCAATCCCGCACTCAATGGGGAACAACCTTTGGCTTGACACACCTCCGGAAAAGAGCAACACAAAGTTGACTCTTCGGCCCCTTGTACCTTTTTGGTGGGCCTGCTTTAGATACATGGGTGTGTCCTTCTTTGAAGCTATGGTTTTCAGGGGCTAAATTGGAGGGATGCCAAAGAGACACCACCAGTTTTGGCGGCTTCCCCCGTTGAGCTAACACGTGCGCTGCCGACAATTTGTATGGCGACTCGGAACTCGGGGCCCGGGCTCGAAGCGCAGAGCGATGAGCACCCAGTCCTGCGATGGAGACGTCTGTTTTTGTTGTTGTTGTTGTTTTTTGTTCTTTTTCTCTGGCGCCTCGAGTTGGTGGATTTATAGACCAGTTTGGCAAACATCGCAAATACAATGTTAGCCAAGTTCAGAAGTCTCGGCCAAAAGGTCATGGTCATAGGCCGGCTCTGGGCAACGGAAAAATCGGGATAAGGTGAGGTTTCGCAACAGGCTTTCACCATCTTTCACCAAATAGCACTGGGAAGGAAAAGTTGAAGATGGTTCAATGGGAGCTCTTCCCAATGTTGAGAGTGTCATTTTTTGAGGGAACCCTGTTTGGGTAAGGGAGGAAACCAGATGTTGGGGGGAGCCAGTTAAAGACAAAACCATTCTTTCTTGATAACCCAACGATGCCAATGCAAATGCATAGCTAAAAAGCATCTCGTTGTTCTCATCGTCAAAGTCAAACCACTCATACAATGTGAAAGCGGACCATAAGCATGCTCCCCCTGGCGCAGACTTGCCACAGCTCCTGGAGCGGGCCATGCTTCCCTTCATAAACTGGGACACTACAGAACTCGGCTGCTTTCTGCTCCCCTGCTAGCAGTATAACTTTTAGTGGTCCTAATGGACAACCTATTAGATGGCAAAAAGTTGAAGTCCTAAAATCCAAGCAAAATGCACCAAAGAGAATGTCTGCGAACGGTTGATAACATTTCCCTCCCGCATGGGCCTACACAGGCAGCTCCATGGAGGCAGGGTGAGTCAGCCAGTGTACATGGGATGTCAAAATCTTACCTGGCTTTCACAGCCACTCCGATGGGATGGTTTCATCCAGTGTCCTTTTTCACATTGGCTACGAGTTCGTAGGCACCGTTTTTTCTTCTTCTTTGTTTTTCCTATTGTCATGGTGGTTTGCTGCTAACTACACGAAACCCAGGAAAAACCAAAGTATAAATGATACCGGCACATGCATTTTCGGTGACCCATGCAAGGGAACATACAGGTTCCCTTTTGGTCCAACTGTTGGGTTGATTTTGCAGAACCTGGACCAAAACTGGCTGGTTTGCAGCTAGAGAATCAACAAGGTGTTTGGGAATGAGTTCAGGACACAAAAAGGGATGGTTCAGTTCGAGGTCATTCCTTCCTTGCCCTGCGATTCTCCGCTCCTCATAGCCAAAGTTCGCGAAGAGGGGCTGGCTGCCGCCAATGTCGCACACATCCTGGCAGCACATGGAGCAGTGTCGAAACCAGAGGACCTGGGTATGAGTATTGATTGAACACCCACCTTCTGTCCACCAACCACTTTCTAGGGGATTCCCATTTAAACTCATAGCCAAGTGGGCATGAGTCAAAAAGCACGCATTTCTGGAGGCTCGTTCCACGCTGGTTTTTGTCAAAGGCCGGAATCGAAGCCTTCTCTAGCTGTTTTTGGGCACCCAAAAGTGAACACATGCGCAGAACACAATCCCCACCTTGCCGTTCAAACGCAAGCTCAATGCGAAAATACTTGCCATGTGAATAGACGGCGGGGTCCCTGTTTTTGACACAACGAGACGCAATTGGTTTGACACCATGCACGTGCTCTCCATTCAAACAGCACCAAATGAAGCACGTAGCGTGAGTGTGGAGGATTTCCTATAAACTTAGGTTTCTCCCCTCTCGGAAACTTTGTTTCTGTCCTGTTCCCCCGAAACCAATAACCAATGTTGTAGGTCAGCTCATACGGACCAACCCGGGGACACTTGGAGGTCAAAAAGGCCAGCCTTAGCAAAAACAACAACTGGCACCCTGAACAAACTGTCTGTTTTGGATGCTCTCCTGACAAGCTCGTGAAGCGACTTCAGCCAAATCAAAGGCATCAAGAAAGCTTTGCGACTTCGAAGGGGGAGAGCCTTGGCGGCTTCGGGAGGTGTCGCCTTCAAAACTTCGACGTATGGAAGACACGGCCCAAGAACCTTCACGGGTTCATCGTTGCAGAACAGTTGCTTCCACAAAAAAACGAGTTCAGCACCTCCGTAGTTCCAGAAGCACCGCGTAATTCCAGAACAGGAATAGATCCCAGGACATCAGGGCCCTCATTTCAGGTTAGGGGAATACAGCTGAGCCGATGCTCACTTCCAGGTTGTTCAATACCCAATTGAGAAAGGAACTCCCCGGCGTTGAAAAGATGTTAAAGCCACAGTAACCTATACCAAGTCTATTCAGGTTTATACAATAAACTAAAACACTACCATAAACCAACACTAAACAGGGAGGACCGAAGAGTCGACAAGGACCGATGCTAAATCAGCACTAAACAATACTAAACAAGACTAAGCAGTTCTACCCAGTTGTACATACCAAAAGGCACAATACTAAAACAATGTAGAACCAAAATAAACAATAGTAACCCAAAGGCTACTGGAAGAGGAGGAAAACAGATCCCAGGATTGTGTTCAAGGTTTTGTTTGTTGGGGCCCCAAGAAAATGCATTTGTTGGGAGGCCTCATCAATCAATTCTTTGGTGCAGGGTGCTGTCTGTTGCAACGAATGATAAACAATTCATCGGATTGATGTGCCAACAAGGATTCCTGCATTTGTTCAGTGTGTTCAAGCAATATTTGTACTGGATCATTGAAATGTCCTGCCACTCGCTTCGCCGCAAGGAGCGCATGCAATCGAGCGCTCGTGCCTCCACGGCGAAGGGATCCAAAGACTCTGCCTCCAGTTTGGCCCTTTGCCGGCACTTCAAAGGAGACACCGACGCGAGACCCACCGGGTGCGTCTTTTGCTGAGGGTGCCCCATTTTTGTGGTGTTTAATGGCAAACCCAAAGGAAACCAATCTCAGTTTGCGTTTCCCCTGGAAATAAACACGCCTAAATCATCTTGAATAATGCCCAGTTTGACTCGTACCAAGTTTCAGCTACGGGGAATTCTCACTGAGCTTAGCATTACAGGAAGCACGCTGGCCCACCAACTTATATACCGCGATCTATGTACACCAAGACCGGGGCATCCACTTCCATCTCCTCCTGGCAACGCTTCGACTTCTGCTTCCGTTTGGCTCTATCTTCCATTTGGTTAAGACCCATGGGAAAAATATCTCCGGTAGTGATAGATCCCTTTTTAAAACCAACAGGGGAAAACAAAAACTATTCTGAATCAGGAGGCAGACAACTACTGACCCTGGTGTCCTGACCCACCTGCAATACGAACATCAGTTCAATGTCGTCAACACGACACAACAAGGGTCTTGTGCTAACAGCCGTTTTCACACAGTTTAGTATCACCCCTACTACATGGTATGTCGCGCATGAACACCACCCAGTGCTTTCAAAAAAAAAAAAAAAAAAACGAAGGAGGTGTTCACGTCGGATGACAGTGCATGCAGTCAACGTTTGCACCATGCTGCCACTTACACACATTTGAAAGAACCCCGCCATGCTACAATGCTCACACAAATAGTTCACCAACTAACTAACCGACCAACCAAACAAGCAAGCAAGCAAGCAAGCAAACCAACAAAACAAACAAACAAACAAACAAACAAACAAGCAAACAAACCAACAAACAAACAAACAAGCAAACAAGCAAACAAACAAACAAACACACACACACACAAACACACAAACACACAAACACACAAACACACAAACACACAAACACACAAACACACAAACACACACACACACACACACACACCCACACACACAAACAAACACGCAAACACCCAACCACGCAACCACGCAAACACACACACACAAACACACAAACACCCAACCACGCAAACACACAACCACAAACACAAACACCAAAACACACACACACACAGACACAAACACACAAACACACGAACACACAAACACACAAACACACAAACACACAAACACACAAACACACAAACACACAAATACACACACACACACACACACAACACGCGGACACAGACACAGACACACAGACACACAGACACACAGACACACAGACACACAGACACACAGACACACAGACACACAGACACACAAACACACACACACACGTCCTTGAACCCCCCAAAATGGCAACAATGCGAATAGCCACTTCCAAGTGCATACACATTCCAACGACCCCACCATGCCCAAATGCTACCCCGCCATGCCAAACCGATCATCAATACATTACATTCAAAATGTTTGCGTCATACACATTCCAATGAGCCCGCATGAGAAACATTCAATATGCAATAAACTCTACTATTCCGACATGATGTGAAGAAATGGCTCAGGCGCATATCCAGCGTAAGGCTACTAGCTACAAACCCGCAGCGGTCAATATGTGCCATGGTCAGAAGTTACTATGTGAATCATAGTCATACTGTCCCAAAAAGAAGCCAGTTTGTCTACATTCCCAACCAAGAGGTTGATAATCTTCCCTACCAATCCATGCTTCCACAGTTGCACCCCTAGGGTCGTACTACCAAAGTGAGGGTCCTAAGACGCCAACTTTGGGGGACCACCTGGGTACGATTCAGGTATCCATGGAAAGAACGGTTTGGATGGCTCGTCTTTCTTGAAGGAACCCGCTTTTGGTTGGCTTTAATGGCAAACCAGCACATACAAAAGGAAACCAACAATTTCCGGGGTGACTAATTTAGAGACAACCACGCATATCTGTGCGGAACAAAAAACAAAACAAAAAACGCACCAAACTAGTCGACTGGGTGTTTTGCTGATCTGAGGCCAGGCACGACTTTGGTCTCTGTGTGAAGGAAAGAAGCAAAAACAACACATCAGTACCAAAAACAAATAAGCGCGGCCAAAAAGTTGTCACGCTACAGTTGGAGTGAACCACCAAATGGAACCCAACCAAATACGCGGCGGGTGTCAGGGAGCTCGCCCAGGCGAATCCAAATCCCAAATGGGGAAACACGGATCGGAGTGGGATCAGTGTGCCTTCTCATCCGCTTCCTTCTCCTTCTCCTTCTCCTCATCCTTCTCCTTTCCTTCCTCTTCGGCCTTCTCCTTTTCCTCCTGCATTGCGATGGGTACCATGTCGCCGAAGCGCTAAGTGGACAATGTCCTGCATTCCGGTGAGCGTGTTTTGACCCTCAGGTGAGTGCCCCGTAAAAAGTCGCAGACTCACGAAATCCACTGCGCAACTCCGAAACAGCCCGGGTGTTTCTTAGACGGCAACAAAGGGCAACTTCTGGTTGCTGATCTTAGACAAGCATATGTAAGAGGTTGGGCAGCTGGCCCTGCTTTTATTCACAGCCTTGTTCATAGTGTTCCCCAGAACTGGGTGATGTCATGTCTTTTGTTCATTTAAACCAACCAGAGAGGTCCCTGAACTAACAGGAAAACCTGGAATGTGAGGTGCTTCCCCTTGGTCCTTTCAGCTTAGAGAAGGGGCCCACGTGGCACCTTGTCCAAGTTATGGGCCCTGTTGGACCTTTGAATAAGCCACGCAAAGGGTCGCAAGGGTCGGAATCGGCGGTTGAAGCCAGGGCTGAGCACCTCCTTGTCTTCCTTCTCATTTGCAGCACCCTCCTGCGACGGAGGCACCGAAGGACCTATTCCATACAAGAAGACTCAGGGACAGTGGAAGGACCGGCAAGGAATGCGTCAAGCTCGTGCACCCTCCAAGAGGTTCATGTTTTTGTCTTAAGTCCGTCCCGTTTAACAGCATTTTCGACTTCAATTCAGGACTACATTGCCACCTTTGCATTCTGGCCAGCACAAACTAGCCAACTACGTCTATGGCCCACTTGTACAAATATATGAGCATATATATATATATATAAATAATAAATATGTATACGTATTCTGCTACGTAGCTGAACTCAACATGCAAATATCTCATGAACCAGGCTTGGAAGAAACAAACCAAGCGCTCGACAGTGCCGCAGCAAATGAGCAAGGCAATCACACAATATCCACATCGGGTTGGTATCCATCTCCACATCAGGGGTGATTACCCCTTTAGCGGAGGGTGGTCTTCCCCTTTAGCGGAAGGTTGATCGAGTTTTGGTCGCCCCTTCTGATACCCTGTGCTCAGTTCGGTCTTCTTGATCTAAAGTCTACCTGGATACTTTGTATTGCGGGCCCTTGGACATCATTTTGGTGGGGACGGAGGTTCACAAGCCGCTTTGAGAGAGTTCCCAGTGAAACGCATAGCAGTCGCAACATGCGGCACTTACAACCCGTGCATTCCTGGAAGTCTGCTGCTCCTTGCGGATCTGCACATGTCCCATGTTATTGTTTTCCCCCACGCGCATTGTCTCAACCCCCAGCAGAGAAAAGGGCACCTTTTGTTGGTTCCCAAAAAAAGGAACAAGGGCACCGCTGTGGGGGTCTAGAATATATTTCTACCGCAAACAGTCCCCAGGTCGACCAAGCGCGACCATTGCCATCCCCACCTCCTTCGCCTTCTTCTTGGCCTAGCGCAACACGCCGGATTTGGGCTATGTGCCATGAACAATCCCTTTGCTATCCTGGGCCGGAAAGAGAGTCTCCCTTTAACACTTGGGTGCATATCCCAATTTAGCCCTGCGAGGCCCGCCTCGTCTACCTCCTTCCTCTTTGCGGCCAGCCTTCTGCGATTGGGGTCCTCCGGAAGTCACAGGAAAAGGGCAGAAACTATTACCCTCCCACCGACTAACGTGGAAGTGCACAAACACCTGTAGAAAGACTACTTTCCTCGTGGAAATGAAGTTTGTGCACTTCCATGTTGGTTGGTGGGAGGGTAATGGAATCCGACAGGAGATTCCACTAAAACGGATTGCTGGATTTCATTTTTGGAGCCAACATAGCACCTCTCAGAGGCTACCAAGCGCTCACGAGCTTGACCCCACGCCTCAACGTGAAAAGCACTCAGTCAGGGCAGCTGCAACAGCACGACAACTGGGAACAGTCGCAGTAGCACGGCGCAGGCACACACGACGCACTATACTGAACTTATTAACATAGCGGGACCGACACAAATGGTGGTTGTCCTTTGCACCAACCTAAAAAGAGCACCCTCGAACAACACACACACACACACTCACACCCATAGCACAATATCACCACTCGACCACGACCAGCACAGTCGAGCCACATACAACATGAAATTCCATGTCGAGCATGCTGCCAAACGGCGAGCTTCGCCCATTCAATCGCCCCAATTGCGGCGTCTTCGGGAACATGGTGAATTATACTGCCATGTAAAAGCAATTGCTTGTTGCCAAGAGGAACTCTCACATAGTGATCGGGCCCCTGCATGTGCATTGCCTTTGTCAGCTTTGATGGAACAAAACACCTATTGCCAGGTTTGCTACTGAGCCAGGCTGTGCAGAAACAAAGCCTCAGGCTTCATATGGGGGGGGGGTGTATTTTTCAAGGGTACCGGTCCCCTAAAAAAAGACACACTCGTGATATGAGCCTCCCCTGGCAGATCAAAGCCCGCGGCACAAGAGCATTTGCGCAGCACTCAGCGCGCAGCACGGTACACGTGGCGGAGTGCGGTCATTGAGCACCGCGGCATGTCATCACAAACGTAATCAAAGGCTGAAAAGCAAGCAACAGCAAACATACGAAATGACAAGCGAAAACCACACAGTCCTTTGCCGAACCCCCCCCCCCCCCTCCACATTCTCGCTGGAACTGCTCCTTGTACTCCTGCTGTTTTCTCTTCCTCAGCAGCTGGCTTGAGGTTCGACTTAGGCAGGCTTTCAAGTGATAATATCATCCTTTTGTTGGAGTGAGAATGGGCTCAGGGCTTTGCAACGTGCTTCCAAACAAACTCCGCAAGCCGAATCCCTATCACAAACCGACTCACCCCCATGGTCAAAAGCTTCGACTTGGCCATGTTCCAGCAAAGCATTGCACCAATGTTGGCAAGCGTCCAGAAACCCAGGACTCTGTTCCACTCCGCGTGCTTGCCCCGGAACCAGTCGGAAGGCCTGGCAAAAAACATCGATCGGAAGGCGCTGTCATTCCAATCTGTGACATGGACATGGACATGGGCGTTTTTCTTGGGGGGGCACCCCTTTCTTGGGTGGTTCTAAAATGGAAACCCACAGTTGAACACCCGTCATTTTAGGGGGGCCCTAAAAAAAAGCAAGCACGCCCACGTTGCGAGCTCAATGTTCAGGTTTTGCTCAATTTGAGGTCTGTGAGTCTATGTAGGGGCTCCGAAGGCCCCTCACTGCAAACCCGCCGGTTTCTTTCAGGAAACGGAAGCTTAGTCTTACAGATGTTTTGCCCCACTAGCATGGTGATGACCAAGGACGTAAAGGTGAGCAGCATCGAAGAGCAACCTCATGCATTCCAAACACGGTGAAGTGAACGACATCGATTGAACCCAATCTAATCCTTGTAGTATCTGTGCCAAGTGAGCAAACATGGGTGAACGGAGTCGGACCCCAATCAATCTGGGCCCCATCAAGAGGGTGCATTGAAGGGAGACAAGGCATTGACCACATTTCCTGTAGCCCGGCAATTATTTTCTTCTAGAAAAGATGTTGCGCTGGACAAACATCTGGTCAGAAAGGCAACCTGAGAGCTAACCTCGTTCACCTCCTTCGTATCCATCTCGGATGGCCAGAAACCTTCTGAATCGAACAGTAGCCTGGAAAAGGATGCATGTGGAAGCACTCTTTTGCACCCACAGCCGGAATTGGGAGCCCAGATTTGGGTTCTAACAAATGGGATTCCTTCTCAAAGCTACACACATCGTTGTCCTGCACAGGACTGGGACCTGTTCTAATTCGAACACGTCGAATTCGGGTCGCCTTGAAAGTGACATCCTCGAAATTAGTAGCCGCTACACGGCGGCTTTTGAGGAGACCACCGGCACCCAACAGTAATTGTGCGGTCCTCAAAATGTTTTTTTGTTTTCCTGTCTAGACCCATTGAGGTCGGCGCCTGTGCTTCGCCCCGTGAATCCATCGGGTTAACTTTGGTCGGGGTGCTGCAAATCCTCCACCCGCTGCACCAGCTTTCGGTCCAGGACCTATGGCATAGAGCTCTTGCCGAAAGCTCCATCCAGACCCCGAGAGAGAGAGAGACAGAGAGTCTGAGGGGGGTGAGGCATCCCCCAAAAATGTCTTACGCGTCAACAACTTCTTAGAAAATCAAAGCATATCTCATTAAGCATCAACCAATAACTGATTGGGCACCATTTTGCGGCACGGGGAAACGACTGGACACGGCGCCAAAAACAAACTTATCAGGCAGCAAACACAAACTTGTCGGGCATGTCTAGGTTTGCTTGGTTTAGAGTTTGTTGGGGTGGGTTTAGGGGTTTGCTGGTTTAGGATTGTTTGGCTTTGGCTGGGTTTGCGGTGGGTTTGAGCTGGGTCAGCTCGTTGCATTTCATCGGATCAGAGTGAGGATAGGAATTGGCAAGGCCGCCTTAGGCAAGGGTTACCCTTCTGCCCAGCCATGCTACATGAGCAGTGCCCATCCTTCAGCTTTGGGTTAGGCATAGTGCTAGCGGCCAGGCGGCCTCACCATTCTGTATCCGAATCGAACCAGGTAGAAACGCGTGAAAAACAAGGCCAAGGGGGGGTTGGGTGCTGCTTTCCAAACTGTGACCCCCCTTTGAAGGCGGCATACAACAGGCCCACATCTTTGACTCCAAGAGCATTCAAGATATCAAGGTGGTGTCCTCCAGTATATCTACTTTATACAGTAACTGAAACGGGGTAAGTGCTGAAACCTGGGGATGTCCTTTCAAAGGCTTGGCATACAGGATAATGTCGTGGATCACTTATCATGCCTGGAATGTCAAAGCATCGGCGAGGCAAACCAACAATATGGTTAGTTCCCTTTAGCTTCCCTTTGAACCAGTCCAAAAAGGGTACCCTTAACAAAGACACTGAAATCCTGTCACCCTCAGTGACTCAGGCAGTTTTGCATCCACCACAAGACCAACACCAACCATTTGGACGGGTCCAAAAGGATCTCGCTCTCCAGCCCTGCAGAAACGATCGAGCTCTCGAGCCTAAGCCCTTGGCCCACTTCTCGAGGTACTGTTGGCACTGGGGGGCCTTGTACCACATGTACAGCAGCTCGTCGCAGCCTCCCCCGCTTTTCGCTGCGCGCACGAAAATGAGTCCCAAAAAAACCCAAGAGGGGGGTTCCCCTGGAATCACTGAGGTGTCCCAAATGGTTGGTGTCCTCCTGGTGTCCATTCAAATACCCGAAATTGGAGAAACTCCCATTAGGAGCCCTGTGCAGTGCCCATGTAAGATCTTAAGGCTAGACTTCGTTGCTCAGATGGTGAAGCCTTTACAGCTCCGTGCCCTCAGGCTTTTTCATTGTCAGGTCCTTCGCCTGGCAGCAACCTGTGCCAAGTTCTGCATCGACAACAACATTCGCTGGCTGCTGTCTTGATTCTGATCTGCCCTACCAAAAGAAGCAAACAGAACCCAGGGGCCACTGATCGGCTCCGCCGAATGCGAGAAGGGTCCTAAAGACTTCAGCTGCCTTTCACGCAACCCGCACGCCCTTCCTTGACAGTGCTCGGTGCCTACGTTACGTTCATTGCCTCACACTGTGGCTTTGGAAGCACAAGAGCACCATGTTTCATGACTTTGTTCAACACCAAACTTCACCCGAATAAAGAAAACAAGGTGAAACCATGCGAAACCCACCACATTCTTGGAATCGCATGTATGCTGTCGGGTTCGGCCTTCCTCCTTGCTGGGCAAGCTGAACTTCTCGTAGGTGGACGACATCTCCTGGCAGTTCTGACATTGAGCAGTCCCATAAAACCGGCAAACAACCGACGTGTGTGTGTGTGTGTGGTGTGTGTGTGTGTGGTGTGTGTGTGTGTGTGGGTGTGTGTGTGTGTGTGTGTGTGCGCGCGTGTGTGCGTGTGCGTGTGCGTGTGCGTGTGCGTGTGCGTGTGCGTGTGCGTGTGCGTGTGCGTGCGTGCGTGCGTGTGTGGTGTGTGTCGTGTGTGGTGTGTGGTGTGTGGTGTGTGTCGTGTGTCGTGTGTCGTGTGTGGTGTGTGGTGTGTGGTGTGTGGTGTGTGGTGTGTGGTGTGTGGTGTGTGGTGTGTGGTGTCGTGTGTGGTGTGTGGTGTGTCGTGTGGCGTGTGTCGTGTGTGGTGTGTGGTGTGTGGTGTGTGGTGCGTGTGTGTGTGTGTGGTGTGTGCGTGTGTGTGTGTGTGTGTGTGGTGTGTGTGTGTGTGGTGTGTGTGTGTGTGGTGTGGTGTGTGTGTGTGTGGTGTGTTTGTGTGGTGTGTGTGTGTGGTGTGTGTGTGTGTGGTGTGTGTGTGGGGTGTGTGTGTGTGTGTGGTCTGGTATGTGTGTGTGTGGTGTGTGTGTGTGGTGTGTGTGTGTGTGGTGTGTGTGTGTGTGTGTGGTGTGTGTGTGTGTGTTGTGTGGTGTGTGGTGTGTGGTGTGTGTGTGTGTGGTGTGTGTGTGTGTGGTGTGTGGTGTGTGGTGTGTGGTGTGTGGGTGTGTGGTGTGTGGTGTGTGGTGTGTGGTGTGTGGTGTGTGGTGTGGGTGTGGGTGTGGGGGTGGGTGTGTGTCTGTGTCTGTGTCTGTGTCTGTGTCTGTGTCTGCGTCTGGGTCTGGGTCTGCGTCTGCGTCTGCGTCTGCGTCTGCGTCTGCGTCTGCGTCAACGTCAGCGTCAGCGTCTGCGTCTGCGTCTGCGTCTGCATCTGCGTCTGCGTCTGCGTCTGCGTCTCCGTCTGGGTCTGCGTCTGGTCTGGGTCTGGGTCTGGGTCTGCGTCTGGGTCTGTGTCTGTGTCTGTGTCTGTGTCTGTGTCTGTGTGTGTGTGTCTGTGTCTGTGTCTGTGTCTGTGTGTGTGTGTGTGTGTGTCTGTGTCTGTGTCTGTGTCTGTGTGTGTGTCTGTGTCTGTGTCTGTGTCTGTGTGTGTTTGTCGTGTGATGTGTGTGTATGTGTGTCTGTGTGTGCGTGTGTGTGTGTGTGTGCGTATGTGTTGTGTGCGTGAGTGGCGTGTTGCGTGATGTATGTGGTGTGGTGTGTGGTGTGTGGTGTGTTCTGTGTGTGTGGTGTGTGATTGCGAAAGTAGAATATCCAAGATAACAAAGGGACAAGAACCATCCAGGATTGCACAGGCCATTCACCAACCAGAAATTAGGACTCCCAAAAGACCTTCATGAGCTCGCTCCCGGCTAAGCTCATTCGATTTGCCCATACTGAGTCAATCACCTGGCCTTGGATGCCAGGTCAGGAACTTCCTTCTTTCTGAACCAGCACCTCGCGTGAATACAGCAACAACTGAAGCAACAAGAAGAGACAAAGGGGAGGGGGAGGCCGGTGCTCTCTCTGCACATGCTCATCACTTGGACTTGCCGCCAAAGCTGTCGGGACAGCCCGTGGCGCAGTGCCAAAACCTGTGTTCCATGGGTCTAAATGTTTGGCAGTGACAAGCTGAAGGGGTGGCGGCTCGTAGAGCTGGATGCTTGTCAAAATCCCGTGGATCTTGCTGGCCACATTCATCGGCTTGGCTACTGAACCCTATAGAGGCAAACAGAATCAAGGCATTGGAATGTGTCTGCTCAGGGGTTCTGGTATATTCCCTTTCAATGGAAGTGCCAAGAAACTCTGTGAGTCAGAAAACCAAGAAAGCTGATCGCCAGAACCAACCAGGGCAAACCACTCGGTGACTTGGACATCGGGCGCGGGACCTGTACCGCGGACGCATCGGCCATGGTCAAGGTTTGCTAAGAAACCCTTACAATGGTCTAAAATGCCTAGGAGTAATGTGCGCCCCCGGTGTTTGTGGGAAATTGGGGTGGGTCTCCATTTTCGTCCCCAACGCAACAGACTGCCAGTTGATCAGTCCATGGGCTACAATTCAAGCTTGGACCTGCATGGACATCGCGGAATGAAATCGCTCGCCAAATGGCCAAATGGCTCGTCCATTGTTTTGGGGGGAGGGGGGGAGGCAACCCCGTTTCGGTTGGAAGCGTATGGGATTTCCAGAATAAAACCAGCCATTTGGGGCTACAAACACCACATCCAGAGATCTCCGCGATCCGAGGCTCAGGCTTCTTCTCATCCTCCGTGAGTTCCACCTGCACCTTCGGCACAAAGCAGCGAAGAATGGAGGTCGGTTTAAAGGGAAGCCGTAAAAGGAACACGATGTTCGGGGTCCAAGTCCGAGTCCTTATTTGACAAGCCATACCCCTGATGAAAAAAAGAACAACGGCACCGGTTGAGCAACTCTACAAATACGCCATGAATCCCTATGTCGCGAAAGGTTGCTAACGCGCGAACTAACGCTTTGCTTAGGCGACCCATGTCTTAGCCTACACGGGAGCCATACGAATTGCTTACACGTCAGCGTTTTGAGCGCTTCCCCTCTAGATAAAATTGCGCAAACTGTGATGAAGAATTGCTCTCAGGCGGATCAACTTGGCGATGTTGTTCTTTTCGGGGCTCTCGCTTTGCAGCCCTCTTGCTCAGCTCTTTGGAATTGGCCGACAACTTTGGCTCAAGAGTTCATGTTGCTCCAGTGCAGCTCAAGGAATGGCTGTTGCGGCATCATGGTATGGACGAGCCGGGCAGCCGTGCAAACCTTACACAACTTGCTTACGCCTGCTTACGCGCCTGGACTTGCTGAATCTACTGTGCCGTAACCCTTGTGGTTTGAAAATGCGAAAGCTAAGCCCCTGGCATCCAACTACCTTTGCAAGCAGTCATGAAGCAGAACGTAGGTGCTTTGGCAGCACGGGGGCTTTGCTTGCACGGGGCCTTCACATGACACAACTCTTGATTGGCATGTAAAGGGGGGGGATTTTTAGAGCTGCTCAGTGTTTGATCCATACTGGTGCAGGATTTGGTCCCTGTACAGTATGGATGTGAATTTCTATGTGGGACCCTCGGGACATCAACAAAAAATAGGTTTCATGTCCATTCATGTGTGAGGGTGTTCTCTATTCACAACCAAATCTGGGTAGATAAACAATCAGCCACATGGATCAAGAACCGGATCCCGAAAAAAATATTAATGGGAAAGGTTGCAAGACCCTGAAGCAGGTGGCTATAGTTCTTCCAAACATGTTCGTGGTTTCTGTTTGGGTAACAAGCATGGCACTGGCAACTGGTAACCGATCAGAACCCAATCTATGTTCAACCAATGTCCCTTGCCCAGTCGCTTGGGTCAAAACCCCACCTGTAGCCCACAGACATGGTTCCCTGACTAGAGATCCTTGCCATCATATAAACTCCCTACTGAGGGGTCCATCATATAAACTCCCTACTGAGGGGTCCATGAGCATCCCTGCCAACACCAGGTAAAAAAACAAGGCATGTTGACCATAGGTTTGTGAAACAATGTGCGACCCCACAACTTCCCAAGCTACTCGGTCTCCTTTGGATTTCCCTTGACAAGGAACCAAAAGAGGGTTCCCCAAAAAGAACACACGGGCGTGTCTGTCTTTGAGGATAGTACACAGTTTCGGCTTAGTTGTTGCCGCAAAAACACCAAAGGAAACCACGATTGCTGGGGGTCCCCAATTTGGGATTGCCCACAACGAGGGGTCCAAAGGGAAGCCACCCATAGGCCATAGGCGTTACATCCATGTAGCGTCCACAACCACTCGGCAGCGGTCACCCGGGGCTGCCTCCATGGCGCTGTCCTCCTCCTGTGGCGAAACGAAATGGAGGTGCGTCCACCACAAAGGGGACACGTTCGCAAGGATTGAGGACTGCCTTTGAACATCGCAGATGTTGGAGTGTGGCTGTGTTGATGGGGTCCCTTGTCAGCTCGATTGAAACGGACGCCTATTGTGGAACATGTCCACAAGATCAAAAAGGCTGATAATGCACCAAAGATCACCAAAGACCAGTCAGGCAATAGGTGGGCCTCCAATAATATCACTTTTGCGTGGATGTCGTAGCCAAGAGTGCATGCGGTTCACGACCCACGCCGTTCTGCGCAAAAGCATGAGGACTTCGAGTGGTCGCCCCATGTCCTCCCCAAGTGACACAAAACATGGGGACACGTAGTGGAAAACGAGTTGAGGTCCTTCTTGGGCGCTTTTTCGAAGGGACGCGACACGAAAAACACCATCCAAAGGAGGCTCGGCTTTGACGTTCAGCGTCGCTGGCCATTGGGGTGTGGAAATGAGGGGCTTACCTGCTGGAGCTTCCAGGACCGTTGATGGTTCCAGTTTTGTAGAATTAAGATACCTCTTGGGTCTGCCATTTTACAGGGTAATTAACATATTTAGCTTTGTTTTAAAGGGACACCAAAAGGACACCCACACTTTTGTTCTTGTGGGGGCGGTCCCCTATTTTCAGGAAACACCTCCTGTTGCAACGACGGTCAATTGTCCAGGGCTGAGGTCTTAGCATCCATCCTCCGCAAAACCGCAGAAACGCAAGCGCCGCTGAGAAACGGAACCCTCTCCCCCCATTGCGCATATTGCGCGCCTTGATTTCCTCATCCTTTTCTTCCTCTTTCGCCTCTTCTTCCTGTTCATCCTTCTCTTGCTTGGCTTCCTCTTCTGGCTTCACACCTGACACTTGCCACAGTGCTCACCCGCTGGAATCTTCGACATCAGATGTGCTCCGAAGCTTGGGCCGTAGGATTCCTTGGAGGTATTTGTCGTGTGTCCTGGAACTCTGTGTCACAGACAAATCGGAAATACATGCCAGCAAACGGTTCAACCTTGAACACGAACAATACACGCCAACTAAACTTGCCCACGAGATACTGTAAGATACTTGCAAGAGGGTGCCTGAGCATATTTTAGGAACATGCAACTCAATCTGAAGCATGCCGCCTTCTTCCTCTCCTTCTCCTTTCTCGTCCTCCCATGTGGCAACTTGGACCAGCTGTCTGATTTTGGTTGATCACGGCTCCATCAAAAGCTTTCTGGGCTCTGCCCAAAAGAAGAAGGGCACATGGGGGCTGGGCAGCTCCCAAATTTTGTGAAGCTCACCAACTCTTGCCGTGGCAGGCACCTGGCTTGGCTCTCAGGTCTCAGGCTGCGCTCTCGCCCCCGCCTCTGAAGACATGAGAGGGAAGGGAATGGACCCCAAGAACAATGGAAACCGAAGATACCAGTCAAGATGCAGCTTCTGGTGTTTGGCTGGGGTTGTTCTGCAGACCTGTCCTTCCCAGCTTCGCCGTCGTCCTGCCATGGCGCGAGCTGGAAAATGCCAAGGGACTCATAGGGGAACAAAACACAAAGTTGACTCGCTTCAGGAAAGGTTATTTAACCTTCTTACAGGGTTCTAAGAAGTGTTCGGAGAACTTTCCGGTGAGCAATCTTTCCCAATCACCAGAGCAAGGCATGGCATTGACATTCGAAGGCTGCTTTCGAAGCATTTCCTTCAGATAATTCTCGTGGTGGTTGCTTTTCTGCTGGTACTGGTGCTATCTGGTGCTTGTGCTGCTTCAGGCTTCTTTGCTCCAGAGTCCCTCGGAGTGTGCACGAAGGAACCATCTGGAAACCATTCCTTGCCCCTGGCCCGAACCACCCTGGACTGATTTCCTAGGAAGTACCAACCAACATCGAATGAACGTTGCCACTGGACTGGAGTTTATATTAGAACCAGAGCTCGTCTCCAGAGACTCAAAGCTCGCACAGACATGACCTCAATACATCCATCAAAGCGAGATTTTGAGGGTTCTCATGAGAACCTGTGTTGTGTTTCCCTTCTAATCACCACTTAGAGGAGGCAAAATCTAGGTATGGAGCCAATGCACCATCCCCTCTCGGTTGAAGGACTCTTCAAGATTTCTGCATGGCTTTGCCTCCAAATGACTTGCAAGACCTACACCGAAAGCCAAGAAGCACATTGTCTCCATCCAGGTCATCCATTGACCTCTGCATCAGAAACTGTCCTTTTTCGTTGAAAAAGCGATGGCGAGCATTGGCAAACGGCTGAGGCTTTTGGTCAGACCATCGATTCTGGGGTGCTACCAACATAGCCATGTATGTGTCAAAATAGGGGGACCTAAAAAATGGTGGCGTTCGTTTTGGTCCCCTCAAACCACTCCAAAAAGGGAATCCTCAAAAACCCAAATTAGGAGTATGCTTGCTCCCAAGCCTTTTGATGCTTTGAAAGACCCCATCAAAACACCTAACATATTTGCAATTTCTTCCCGAAGCACCGCCCCCAACACCAAATGGCAACGGTTTCCCTTTTCAGTCTACTCACGAAAGGGGCAACTCGACAAAAACTCTCGCCATGCCGTTCAATCAAATACTCGCTGATTTAAGTGGTTCTAAATGAAACAATCACGGAAAAAATGGCCACCCAAGGGTCCAAGGAATGGAAATTATCAAGGCGTTTCTGGATGTCTTTCTTCAGTCCTTTGCCGCTTCTCGTTGCTTTTTATCCTCCTCACGCCTGAGCCGCGATCGAACCCACCCACAAAACTATCCCAGTTGCAACCGGCGATGGTCCGGTGGAAACAGGATTTGTACTGCGGAACCCACCAAAATTGGAAGGATGCCAATGAGCTGTAGACCCTGTGGACTTATACCCACACCCGGTGCCGATCCCTTGAGGAATAAACCACCAGGTTCAAAAATCTTGGTGGGAAAATGGAACCTTGACCATCCCGTCGAACTTGCCCGGGGGGTAATCACTTGCCAGGATAGAAGCTCTTTGTTGCCAACCGTCCAAGCTTCGCATATGGCCAGTTTGGGCCAACTGCAAGAAGGGAAACCCCTTGGGAAAAGGATCGGCCAGTGGCAAAAAATGCCTGATGCTCAAATGATTGTTTCTTAGCTTCCATAGCAGAAATTGGTGGCTCACGTTTCCCGGCCAGTCGGAGAAGTTCATGTTCATTCCCAAAAATCGCGAACCCTCGTCGACAACTTCAAGGTGAATCCTGGAGAGAACCACCCATTTTTGGAGGCACCACATTTTTGGAAGCACCCCAAATTCTTGAAAATACCCATTTGAATTTCAAGGCACAAAGGGTAGAACCCTTCGACGGACAAATCCATGCCGCCCAAGGGGCTTTTTGGCTCTTTCCTCCTCCAACTTTTTGCGGACAGCCTCAGCCTGGCGATCATCTCAGATCTAAACCCCGAGTCTCAACCCTCGTGTTTCTTCCTCATCAAAAGGACCTGGCTTAGATGAAGCGTCGAAAAGGTAACCAAATTTTGGTCTTAAAGGGCTTTGCACAATGGCAGGTGGTTGGAGAATCCTCCTGACGTTTGAGCCTCTTCCAAAAACAAAACCGCCCATGTCTCCCGAACGGTCGTGGCCTTCTTTCTTCTCGCTTCCGCTGCAGCCTTCTCCGTCTTCTCCTTCAGCATGGCCTCTCGGTGCACCAAGGCAATCGCCAGGTCAGTGGGCAAAAAGGACACCCTCTCGCTGCTTGACTTTCGAACGCATACCCACTCCAAGACAAGGAAAACAAAGGGCCCTGGAGGTCTGGACTGTCTGAATCTGCCCAAGCTCGCCTCTTGAATGAAGACCTTGTAGTCTTTCGGCGGCTCCCCCATGACCACTCTCACCACCTCACAGCGTTCAATGGTCCAGGGCTCATGTTCCCAGAAGCTTCCAGCCGAGAACCCTCTTCTCAGCCCAGGATTTGAAGTCCATCCGGAATCCTGTTTACCTGGACCTCGCAAATCCGCGAGTGCAGAGCATTACCCCATGGACATGGCTCCGATTCCACCATGGACATGGCTCCGATTCCACCATGGACATGGCTCCGATTCTCCCATGGACATGGCATCGAAACCCTGCCTTCTTGTAGCAGTCCCCGGGAAAGCGCGCCAGGGTACTGGCGCGCTCCTCTGCCAGCAGGTTGTTCCTCACCTGAACCAAAGCAAAGTGAGAGCCTGAAATTGGTATGTTCACCATCTGTGGGGTCCAAAGAATTGGATTTTGGTTTGACTATGTGCATAAGGAGTGCTCACTACCTTAGCAACCCGCAAGCCTGCAGGTTGGTGACCTACGTATTTTTCATGGGGCAGCGGTGCAAATGATGCGGGTGATGCCCGGTGATGCCTTCAGCCTCAATGCTTCAATTGCCGCTGACCTTGGTAATTGGTAGGTGTTAGAAAGCTACACATGAAGCCATGCAAAGGAACGCTGAGTCGTTGAGACCAGACAGCTTTTGAGAGGCTGCTGGAGTCAGCACAGTCGTCTGATAAAGTTTGCCAAGGTGACACCAGGGTCAAACAGATTCGATCGGATGTGCTATCGAAGTGGCAGCGTGAGCATCGCTTGAGCGCAAGTCTACACTGCAGATTCTCTGAGCCCCAAACCCTTGGGCAACGGCACGATCCGTTCAGGGCTCTTTTTTGTTTGAGGGAAGGCCAGGGAAGGCGGGTTTGCTTTATTTGCACAGCATGGAACATCTGGTCACCAAGCTGGGCCTTTGCACGGGCGGGCCCCGGGAGCATCTTCACTAGAGAGCCTTCTCGTGACTGAGGGAAATCATAGCAAATCATCACCCCTGACATGGGTGCTTGGGTATTTCCAGCTACATTCCACGAGAACCAACAAGACAAGGGGTGCTCAACTTTCAGGAAACACCAACGTAGTCACCCCCGTCCAAAGTTTGCCTCGGCGATGACAAAGTTCCGAGGGAGCACGGTGGACACAGCCCGGATGACCTGCTGATTTCAACATGGAACCTGGTCCCCGAAGA